AATGAGCCAGTGGCAATTTGCCATAGATGAAGTAGTGGGCATAAATCACGTTGCTTGCAAAAGCCGCGTCACACACGGGTTTGAACCTTCGGTGCATCGTCCCATGAGCGGCATCGCTACCACTGCACTATGGAGCCCTTCTTATTGACGGTGAAAGAATTCTAGAGGAAAGGCAATAACCCACAAAAGTTGCAAAGATTTTGACATCTAGTAGTATCGATCCCGTGGCCGGCTCAACACAAACGTGGACCGCAGGCGCTACACCATTGACGGATCAATGCAAGTTGCTTCCCTTTCCCTTTTCAACTTACTGCGTTGACCCACACAGCCTGGCTGTTTGGAGATGGCCATCTCTAAAAAGTCCTCCGGAGGACTTTTTAGAGATGAAGTGGCAGCATGTTTGCGCCCTCCACCGCGCGCGCACTATTTCCTTTTCCTCTGCCGCCATCGCTGTTAGTTTATAAATGACCACCCTGCTAATCCTCTTACTAGCACGTGATGTCATCACCCCAACTTCCAAGTAAGTTCGAACTCACTTCGACCATTCCGACGGGGAATCTTCGGAGGGGTTCCAGAGGTGCTCTACGCATCTTTTAGGGAGACATGGATGGAAGCCATGACCAAGTTACCACGAGCTCATGGTCACATGGTAACTAGCAGTTGAGGCCACTTTACTACCGTCCCAGGTTATTGGATCCATCCAAGACACCACCAGAACCTAATCTGAGGAATTTGTTGTTTTCTTGTTGTCTACGTTACACTTGAGAGAACACGTGAGAACTGCTACAGTTTTGCTTCATGTATATCTCCCAGCCTCGTCATGCGCAACGGTGCACTGTGGCTAATAGGACGGTGTCAACCACATATAGGCACACTAAATGGATGATACATTCATGCGTAATAACTAACTAGGCTCTCAATCGAGTTCTGTTCGAACACGCCGTGTTGCACTACATGCAGTCAATAATGGTGGAATGTGGAATGCATGGCGTGCTACATATTGTTCTAGGCTGCTCACTTTATCTGTAGGATGAAGGACGAGAAACAAATTGGACACTCACTCATGGGAACATTGAAGTGAATGAGCAACTTGCAGAACTTAGGACTATCATGGAACCCTTTCAGGATATAGAGCGCTTTAGTGAAGCAGTTTTTGCATGTTAAAGCGACAGGCGCAGGAAGCTTAGAGCTGAGAACATTTTTTCTGAGCAGCCCTGGGAATGCTAAAAACATGTCGAAATAAGGACTTGTGGTTCAGTTACCGCTGAAGTCAAATTTTTGCGTTTCTCTAGTTTCCACGTCCTTGGGCTCATATAGTATGTCTGAAATTGTCCGCAACGAAAAGCTTTGAACGCAACTCTTTGACGCTTCAAAAGTTGTAGAGTTTATTAAAAAACGGAAATTTTCGCTCATCACTTTTATGCTCACGCATACGCATGAGCATGCTCCGCGTATAGCCCCCTATGCACAAACCGCTTTGAAAAGGCCCTTCATGACCTGAAAGTCTATCCTGGTGAGCCTTGGGGACTAAAGAGGGAAGGCATTGTGAAAGTAACGTGAGCAATAGTTCTGTTTCTCTTGCGTTTTCTCCACTACTCCTAGGCTTTAGTCCAGTATCACCCTACCAACGCTTTAATAATACACTGTTTTGAATATGTCCTCTAATGTCCCCTAAGGCCATGAGCGCCACAAATTATTCCTAGTAAAGTTGAAATATCTGAACGTTATAACTCGCTGGCAATACGATTACATCAGCAATGTGTGGACGAGTTATTTCTCAACTGACATTGGGCAACCTCGAATTTTAAATCAGGTTAAAGTACTGTGAAGTTTAAACAGAGACAAGTACTAGAACCATTCTATTTTGAGATAAGAACGGTCATCTAGAGGGTATGCGCTACTGACACTGGAAGAAAATAAGCAATGAAGTCAAGAATGCTTCCATCGGAGTCAACTATGGGAATGAGAAGATTTTTCGGATCACCACTCCTCCACATCACTTACCTTTTTACTATTGTTGCTTTTTTCTTGATTCACATCCCTTACATATGTACACATGGACACCAAAAAAATAAGCCTCCAAAAAATAAGCAGTGAAAAAAACTAGGTTCTTTAGAAGTTCTCGATAGGGCCATTTTAGCTCGAAAAGGAATCTACACACGTTGTCCCCTCCAACTGCTCTCGAAACTAGTCTTCGCTGAATCTAATTATACAAGATGGCCAAAAAGTATGAGCGCGCGAAAAATCTCCCCTTCCTCGTATGTATACATTGTTCTAGCATTTTCATTGCTAGAATTGGTTCAGAGTATCACGAATAATCTCCTTTATTAGAAGTCACTGGATTGCGTTCAGTTTTGACACAAGGTTTTTAAAGCAATATGACGAAATGAGCTGGACGCCTAGTTCCTTCACACCTATCTCAGTGCAGGCAGTAAGGACCACGTTAGGAAATATCCGGGGTTCTGCCTTTCACAACGGGCACAAAAGCTAAGAGTTTCAACGTGAGAATAATCGCTCTGGAGACTCCATTATGAACCCATCAGTTCCCAGACCAACGCTGAGGTGAACTGACCTCGGCGCATTTTGTAATCTCGTTTCAGAAGGATCTACGATTCCGATTTGAAAACAATCTACATGGAGCACTCTCTAGTAATTATATTTAGTACAGTACTACCTAAGGCGACAGGTGGCAAGCGGCACGCCTAGCACGCCTTCCGGGGATCGAATCCTAGGTGGTGCGTTGTCCGGGTCAACCAGGTTTACGGACTACTTGAACTTTCTTCCATGGTCCTGCCACGAATGGCGGAGGGCACAGACAGTTAGAGAACGGCGCCTGGCTCGGCTCCAAATCCCAGGAAGGAGGTGAGAGCCCTAGGACTAAGCCTTGTAGGAGGGAGGGACTTCGAGGTGGGTGAGCCAACTACAGTGTGGCAAAAGTTTGAATGTGTGAGATCACAATGGTCATGAGCCGCTGATAAGGTGAGAGAGCGCAGACGAGAGATGGATCTGAGGCGGCTTCAAAGGACCGGGTTCAGGTAGTCCGTCAACTGGGTCAACCAACCTTCCGTCCCTCCGTAGTCGGTTAATTGGTGCCAGACTTGTATATAAGGACAAATACGAATTGTATAGGCCACATCGCATTCAAACGCCACTACGAATGTACAAATGGAAGTAGAATGCGTGCCGCATCCCAAAAAGGGATTGATCAACGGCAAATGCTTTATTCATTTTATCCTCTACAGTACCAAGAATTTCTACAATCCACTGTTCAATACAAACTCTGGAATCGCGCCACCCAGTGTGGAACGGTCGAATGATTCACTGCACTCGATCAGCACTTTTTGTGGCTGAATGCCAATGAACGCCGACTGCAGTCGCCCTTTGCTATCGTTCCCTGTCTACTGTTTTCATTGTCGCATTTGTTCTCGAACAGTCTACTACATAGAGCTGCACTTTCAGTCCCAGTCCTTGTTATCACCGTAATTATTCGTCTGCAGGAAACTCATATCTATGTACTTGGGTGCTTTCACACTTGTTCCACCTCTGTGCTTTCAGCAGCTTTCAGGGATAGCTATACCCCTACCACGCTCACCTTAGGTAGCTCTGGCATATGTTTTCTTGAATCCATGGATACCTATTAACTACCAACCACGATGTTTGTTGTTTTATGGTACTTAATCAGCACAATTCTAGCGTGGTTATTGGGAGCGCATTAGAAGCGCTCAAGCTGTGCGGACAAAAAGGCCACAAATATTCAGAAGAAACGGGACACCATAGTAGTGCTGACCACCCTAAAATCCCTCACTAAAAACCCTTTCTTTCAAGCTTCCTCTTACAGTAACTGGAAGTGATGGCATTAAAGTCATCTATCGAAGGAAACCATTTCCATTGTACACTGTCCCTTGTCGCGCTATTGATTTCACATAAATCGCTTCCATCACGAATTCAGTGTTTGGTCGGCCAGTTATGGCATGGGTCGCTAGTTTCGCTTGCACTTGCAGACAGATCGACTCCGCTCTTTTGTGTTCTTGCCCGGCATGCGAAACAGATTGGCACAACGCCAAGCAGACTCCCAGTAAACTTTTTCGTATACAAGCATTATGCGACATTATGAGCTCTGCTTTCACGTTACCTCAGCTTTACAATTACAGTTACAAAATTAAACGCAAGGGATGTTCGATAGAGAGCAAAATGGAGAAAAAGGCTACTATGTATGTGATAGGTGTGAAAGAAACTTTAGTGAAATAATGAAAAGTGAGCGCTATTGCAATATACGAGGGCATCCTCTACGACTGAGCTGAAGAGGAGGCAGGAGCTCCGGGAAAATGTAAATGGGTCAGGTTCTTTGAGTTCCCTCCTCCGCCTGAGGCTCAGTTCCCTTTTCATTAATAAAGACATCTTTTACGCGATTTCAAATTCATCGCCACCAGGACGCCCCGTATACTGCGATAGCGCCGAAAAATGTAATAGTACCACTATAGGCTCCAAGACGGGTGGGGCTTAACTTACTTGCTTGTATAGGGAAATCGGGTGTGTACCAAAAGTCCACGTTGCGGGTCCACACGAACAAAAATTTGCACCACTCAGTCCAATTCGTTTGTGTTCTGTCTCGTCTCGTTTGCACTGTTATCTCAGTCACCTCAGTGATCGCATCATGGTCTTGGGCCGCCGCGATTACAGCAGTGTGCTTACGTCAGTGCGACCAGTAGCCTTTATTTAGGGAAGAGAGTCTCAAACGAGAGCGGGGAAGTGAGTGCAGATGTTTAGGGGAGAGTTTGTAAGCGGATGCAACCATACTGTGGCGTCGCGGATGTGGACGCCGCGATTGCGGCGGAGTTTTGACGGGTAGCCTATTGAAAGACGCCGTAGCCGCCGCTAGCTCGATTGTAAGGTGGCTGGCGTCTACCTCGTATTGCTCAGCCTTCATTTCTTCACGCCTTTGCCTTTACAAACGCCAGAACTAAATTTACAGAGCACTTTTTTGTATTGGATCTATTTTTGATCGTTCTTATGGTATTGCTAAGGCTATGGATTCTGTAATACCAATCAGTTAGATGTCGGTCAGACTCTGCGATTGCATCGCGCGATGCAGTCGCTCTGCCTAGAGCGATTGCATCGCGCGATGCAGTCGCTCTTGCAATGTGCACAAGCGACGGGCGATTGGCCCCGCCCACATCGATGCAGTCGACATCGGTATCGATCGCGGCGGGCCATTGCCCGCCGCTTGCACTTTTGGCAGAGCGATTGCATCGCGCGATGCAATCGCAGAGTCTGACCGACATCTTAAAGGTGACTATGGTGGTCGGAGGACCTACAATCACCCTGTCCAACGGCACAAAGATGCCACAAGTTGGGTTAGGAACTTGGCAGGTGAGTAGCCTTTTCACAAGATCTCCCAGCATTAGTTACATTGGTTCCCGTTTGATACGGTCTTCACCTGCGGTAAAATTAGAAGGTAACCCTTCAGTTTCGCGAAATCCATACTCGAAACGAGATAAGGGCAACGCATCACCCACCGCGAGACCATTATCCGTGTTCGCTTCGCATCTTTTTCAAAATCTTTTTGCGTCCGCGTCTCCTTCAGAGAGTCCTGATAGGACACTCTATCCCACAACTCCGTGGGTGAAGTCACTTACGACTAAGACTTCACTCCTGGGACTAGTCGACGCGCTCCACTCCGCCCTCTGCTTCTTTCCAGATCGGCCCGTAAACTGAAGGAGGGGGGAGCGGACAAATATGCCTGAAAACGTCAAATTCTCTAATGTTTCTCTATTTCTCGCTCTATTCATGTAATCCTTCCGCATTTGTCGAAAAACTGTCACAAACGGCTCCCTGCGATCACGACCTCTTTAACTTCTACAAATGCTACACTCCCCAGTTCCTATAGCACGAACGGACGTCGTTATATCCGCTAGTCAATGTACAATCAAACGCTTCACGATAAATCGTTGAGCAAGGTGCTTTCTTCTGAAGAAAAACACAGTGAGGTGTGATATCTGATTAAACCACTGTTGCTTCTACTCTATAATCCCAGTAACACCTCTGTAGATCCTGAACGGTAACGGGTGTTCGTGATGTTGAGCTGATGAAACAGTCGTGTCATTAATGGATCGGCATTTGGGAAAGTATAGATCGGAGTGCTTTACCACATCTCCACCAAGAGCACTTACATTAGTCGCACGCCCCGGCCATCCCTCCTACCAAGGTGAATAACGGTCATAGAACTCTACAATCTGGCCCTGTACCGTGTAATAATACTGTCGAGAGTGGAGGGCGCAGACGGATCAAGCGTTAAGAGGGTGAATGTCCGCGCCGGAGAGCATCACCCGAATAGGCGAAAATCTTCGATGAGCCGTAGACAGATCCTCGAACGTTTTTCACCCTGCCTCCTACTAATTTTGAGAGCACACTCACCAAAAACAAAGCACATTCTAATAAGTAATCTCTCATTTGAACAGTGTTGTTTCAGTCTAAACCTGAAGAGGTCAAGGCAGCTGTAAAAACTGCTGTAGAGGCAGGATATCGTCTAATTGACACGGCTACTTGCTACGAAAATGAGAGCGCTATCGGCGACGCTATCAAAGAGTTGATTCAAGAAGGAAAAGTCACTCGAGAGAGGAGCTCTTCATTACCACCAAGGTATGGAAAAGTTTAGCTTATTATAATAATGGATAAAGGATGAAGCATTTGCCGCTGATCGATCCCTTTCTGGGATGCGACACGCATTCCGCTTCCAATTTGTACATTCGCTTAGTGGCGTTTGAATGCGATGTGGCCTATACAATGACTTGCGGGGGCCAGCCGATGTACAAGTCAGTGTTTTTATCCTCCCAGACAAGTCTGGTACCAATTAACCGACCCCGGAGGGATGGAAGGCTTGGTTGGCCCGGGCGACTCACGACCCAGGATTTGATCCCCGGACCGCTCGCGTGGTAAGCGTGCCACTTGCCACTACACCACTTCCGCCCGAGCTTACTTATAGTAGAACACAAGAAGGAGAAAATGCAAAGGAAGGGCCGAAGGAGGAGATTCGCTGAGTCTGCTCTTGCATCTCAAAAAGTTGAATGCCATCTGGAATGGCTGAATTGATAGATTGACAGAAAATTGTTCTACACGTGACTTGGAACACTTGTCAAATTATAAAGTAAAATCAATAAGCTGCGGGTGTAGCGACAACAGCTGATGGAGACGCTGGTTCACTACTTGCTCGTTGTAAGGATTAGCAATACTAGCGAATAGCGTAACAGTTTGACGTCAAATTACTTGGATGGTAGTAGATTTAGGGAGTATGTACTTTACGGCGTGGACTCCAAGATCGGCCGGCTGACTGAAAAGGAATGCAGATGCCATACGCGGGATAAGGCTAGCCAAGTTCGGAGCACGGTGGCTCCTGGAATTTGTTCGCCTTAGACCTTTCCAAATAGGTGTTCAAGGGCCCATTGCCAAAACAACTATAATGCGCCTATTATAATATTAGTACAGTAGTTAGGTTCTGTGGCGCAATGTGACTCGGGGGGGGGGTGTTGCTGTGTAAAGGCCTCCCAGAGACGAACTTCGGAGAGTACGAAAAGTTTTACTGCATATCGCATACCTCTCCAAGGTTAACGCTGGAAGCGGGCGTTCAATGATCCTGAGGCGATGTTGGATGGTGCCTCTTCTCCCTTCCCCTCCCCCCCCCCCCCCTTAGGCCACATTGCGTCAGATTTGTGTCTAATGGCTATGAGCCTTTTGTAGAAATGTGCAGAATATCCATAATTTACAGTTGTGGCTCACCCATTTGCATCCTGACGACACCGAAACTGGAATTCGAGAATCACTTGGTCGCCTTTCAGCGTAGACTAAACTTACGTCGACCTTTACCTTGCACATTTCCCGACGTGCTTCAATGTAAGTCATCACAATCTGTCAGCTCTGCCTCTCTAGTCAGGTTTGACTGGTAGGAAAAAGAATGGGGAAGCCCTCCCCTCTCCCTAAAGTATTCGAGCATGGCTTATTTTATCGAAGTCGTCTGTATCGGGGGCAATTTACATGGATGTTCCGCCTCACTACAACACTTCTCCCGCGGTGAAATCCACAACTTGATTTCCAGCATGATATGACTGAACAAAATCCTTCGGTAACCGTTCAAGACATTTGGCGTGGTTTGGAAGGTGTGTACAAAAAAGGATTGACAAAAGCGATTGGTGTCGAATTGGAACGGTGAACAAGATCGAGCGTGTTCTCAAACCGCAACCGTTCGCAATCCTACTACAGGTTCGGTTTTATAGCGTTGCCACGATTTCCGTTGTCCAGGATGCTTAATCTTTTGTTTATTCAGGTGGAGCTCTACCTTTATTGGCCTCAGCATGAATTACATGAAGTTTGTAAAAAGCACAACATTTCTTTGACGTCTTACGGCTCACTAGGATCACCTGGTCGCGTCAACTTCTCTCTTCCAAGTGGAGCGTGAGTGCATAAAGAGAAAAAGGCGCCAGTTCATCATCATTTCAGCTACTGCCCAAAGCTAAACCTTCATCCTCAAAAAGCTTGGACAGGGGTGGGGGTGGTGGTTTCATATTTGAACGTATTAGGTTGGCAAGAAAGTCCTGCGACACTTCTTTCAAATTTTTGATTTTAATTTTATCTTTTTTGTTTACAACTCCTGACCGGTCTTATATCTACCATGAGTGTCCACCACTTGTCTTCAACGCTCAAAAAATTTCTTGATGCTCCTTTGCCAAAACCCAGCGGAGTGCGGGTCGAGAAAGGAGGCGACCTCACTTTCCGAGTTGGAGTTGATCGTCTAATTATTTCGTCATCAAGATGATGATTTAAGGTCCAGGATAGGTGCAGTCATTCATAGCTCGACCAGGAGAATATGAAATTGGAAAAACCCACTTTCTTGGCATACCGGGTCTCCAACATCTGTCTGGAGATCCTGTAAAAATGAAATATTGACACAATAGAAGCGAAATCGTAACAATTTGCAGTAAACTTGTATGGGCGCCTGCACCAAATCCATTCGAGGACGAAAATGTGAAAAACTTGGCCAAGAAGTACTCAAAAACCCCAGCCCAGGTTTGCTGAATTTTGTAAAGCCATCGAAGGAGCTGACAGAGTTCAAACTGTTCCCCATCTAGA